CGAAAGATGTAGAATAAGAGATGAGAGATAATTGACTGATGTAATTAAAATAAAAAAAATAAATAACTCGATCAGGATTTAAAACTTATATCATCCTTAATAAATGTTAGTCAGTTAATAATGTCATATGGATGTGTTGCCATACTGGAAGGGGCGTAAGGATATATCTGGAAACCAGCGAAAATCCGCAAAAGACAAACGAACGGAGAGAGTCGAAGACAAATAGATAGATCTTTGAACGTTGCAGCATACTGATCGGTCGTAATCTGATTCACGGTTTTTGTTTTTGCGTCCAAAAATTATCATAAAATTCAAAAGTACACTTTCCGTTTCACGTTATGGATTATCTTCTTTAATTTCGAGCAATAATTCTTTTTTCTATTAACAAACTCGAAGAATATATATAAAAAAATGGCAATCCGCCTGAGGGTGGAGAAGGAGGAGGAGGACGACGCTGGAGAAGAATGGAAACAGCTGGATTTCTGAGACGGTATAGGAGACTCTGAATTTCATGAGAAGTTGAAAACTGCCCTTCCCTCTCCGTTCATTTCCATCGCCCCCAGAAAGTTTTACACTTTACAGTACTTGATTTTCCTCTGTTTTTGCTTTGTTTGTTTCCCGAGAATCCGTGGTGTAATTGTTAGCTGGAATGGTTGGGAAAAAGGTAAATAGGAAAATCGTTTATTTTTCTTGTTTTCGGTTTTCGTTACGCATTTATAAGCTTCGGTTTGGTTGGATTTCTAGAAACTTGTAGAAACCAGATTCAGTTTTTTTTTTTTTCCATCATTTTTTTTTGTCGTCTCTGAGCCGTTTTCTGGTTTGTGGAAATTCAGGAAATCGGAATTTGAATCCTAAATGGAGCTCTGTGTGCAATCGACAGACGTAGCGGTGGAGGAGATCATGCGAATCCATAGATCTCTGCCGCCACGGCCTGGAATCGAAGATGTTGAAGCGGCGAGGACGTTGATCCAGAACGTGGAGAAGGAGGATCAAGCGAGACTCGAAGCTATTGGGAGACAAACAAAGGGTCGGAATGTGCCTGAGGAGCTTTTCATGGTGCTTCAGGAGATGCAGAAGAAGTTACTTTATTTTCAAAGCAAGGAGCAGAATAGGGAGGCCTTGAAATTGCTCGATCTTGAGAACGTCCATGCCCTGTTCGATGAATTTATAAAGAAAGCCAACAATTGCCTCAATTCTCCTTCCTCTACTTCTTCTTCGTCGTGGTCGTTCAAGTCTCATAACTCCAATGGTTCTAGTTCCACGGTTTCTTCTACTTCCAGTTTGTCCAAGACGACTGCTCCGGTTTCCATTGCCATGAAGTCATCTGTTGCTGCTGCTACAGCAACTACTTCAAGTTTCTACCCGGCGAAGGAGCCAGTCAAGAGCACTGAATTGTTCGCTAGAGATGACAGTTACATAAAGAAAGTTAAGTCATCGTTTTACAGTGATGGACCTCGTATTCCATCCTCAACTCAGAAATGGGATTCCACTATCAGACATGGGAGTGCTTCAGGTTGAGTTCTTTTCCTCTTAAAACTCTTTCTTTTCATTGTAGAAATGTTATTGTCTTAGACCCTTCTATTTGAATGAAGTTTTCATTGTTTTTAAGGATTGATTGATGCTCAAATTCAATACTTAATGCTACGATGTGTTATTTTTGCTTAATCAATGCTCCTATATGTTTTGTTGGTGTGGAAAATGAATTGTGCAGGTCAAGATGGTGATAAGTTGAGTTTAATTAAGCTGGCTAGCTTAATTGAAGTCTCTTCAAAGAAGGGCACTCGGGATCTTAACCTCCAAGACAAGTTATCAGATCAAGTTGAGTGGATTCCTGATTCCATAGGGAAGTTATCAAGCTTGATTACACTTGATTTATCTGAAAATCGAATTGTTGCATTGCCCAACGCCATTGGAGGCCTTTCATCTTTGACGAAGCTGGATTTGCATTCCAACAGTATTGCTCAATTCCCTGATTCAATAGGAAACCTCCTTTGCCTGCTCTATCTAGATCTCAGGGGTAACCAATTATCATCTCTGCCTGCAACCCTTGGCAGATTGGTTCGCCTTGAAGAGCTTGATTTAAGCTCAAATCAGCTTGGTTCCCTCCCTGATACGATCGGTTCACTCGTTAATTTGAAGATATTGAATGTGGAGACAAATGACATTGAAGAGATTCCACATTCTATCGGTCGGTGTACTTCACTTAGGGAGCTTCATGCTGATTATAATCGGCTTAAAGCTCTTCCTGAAGCTGTTGGAAACATAGAAAGCCTAAAGGTTTTATCTGTGCGTTATAATAACATTAAACAGTTGCCTACAACGATGTCATCTCTAGCAAACCTGAAGGAGCTTGATGTGAGTTTCAATGAGCTTGAGTCAGTGCCCGAGAGCTTAGGTTTTGCTACTTCACTAGTCAAGATGAACATAGGGAACAATTTTGCTGATCTAACGTCGCTACCGAGGTCAATAGGGAACCTTGAGCTGCTAGAGGAGCTGGATATTAGCAATAACCAGATCCTGGTCCTTCCAGACTCTTTTAGGATGCTAACACATCTCCGCGTCCTACATGTAGAAGAAAATCCTCTGGAAGTGCCTCCTAGACATATTGCTGACATGGGTGCACAGGTAATGATTCCTTCTGTTTTTTGATGAATAACTGGTCATTGGTTCTAATCCTAGGCTAATATGTGTTTTGTTCTTGGTTTTCTCAGGCTGTTGTTCAATACATGGCTGATCTTGTTGTAAAAAGGAATGTCAAATCACAACCGATGAAGCAGAAGAAGAGTTGGGCACAGATGTGCTTCTTTTCAAAATCTAACAAAAGGAAACGAAAGGGAATAGATTATATAAAAGCCTGAATTACAGCATCACTGATGAGAAAATGATCCCATTTCATTTCCCCACTTGGTGAGTTGTAGTGCAAGTATTCAATTCTTTACTGTAAAAGTTGTTTAGCCATCCCGATGTGGAAGAATATTACATAGGATTAAGAACACATCCTTCGTAGCTGAGTCGAATTATATATATCGATTCTCATGGCAACTCTTGCTTTTGTTATTCATCTTACAGGGGAGCTCAGAGCTGTTAGCGTTGAAATGAAAACCAGAGAAATGAATGAAATCAATCTTAACAGCAGAAGTGAAGCATAAAAGGTGGTTCTAACATTTGCTCCTCAAAACTCAAAACTGTAGATTTCCTTTTACTTTCCTCCCTTCGTAATGGTCACTTTCTTCCCCTTTCAGAAAATTCTCCGTCTGTAATCCGTTGTTCATATGGTAGACGTTGTACAATTCATCCTGCAAACAGAAGAAGAAAGCTAAATGTTGTAATCTCAATCTCATATTTGTAAAATTAAGTTAATCTCCCTACCTCTTGAATATTCCCCATTGCTTGAAAACTCACTGAAATCACTCCAATATAAACCAATGTGACTTGGAGATTTGGTTGATTCACCATTGGAAGAACTTTGGCCTTCAATAAATTCGTGTAAATTATAGGAGTATGGTGGGTCCTTAAATGTTTTTTTTATCCTTTGTTATGGCTACTTGCTGAAACCAGACTTGATTGATTTTGATACATTGTCATTATCGATGAACATCGAACATGCTATGTTACCCATCGGCTAGCCAATCTTCATGGTCCCATAAATATCCTTCGGCGCTTTTTTAAACGAAGAAATGCTAATATACTCTGCCATTACTCATGGTGAACTTCTATTTTAATTAAATTTTTTTTAAAATTAAAAAAATAGATAAAAAATAATATTTATATATTCAGATCAATGTGAAGTGCAATAACATTCTATTTAATAAATTTTATTACTTTAAAATTATTTATTTTAGTATCATCTCCTGAATATTGATGGGATAAAGAAATTATATTGAGAAATACTATAAATTTCCTCGGTTTTTTTTTTTTTTTTTTTTTAGTTTTAGCATTTTTTTTGAAAAAATTATAACCTTTATTTTGGTTGCAATTGTCTTTCATCATTTTTTAATATAATATAAATAAATACATTGAGTCAAACTTGTTACACGGTTGGGCACCACGAAACGGGTAGGCCCGCTTTTTTTTTAAAAAAGGGGTTAAGGAAAGCCCATTAAACTGCCTCGTCAGTCGTCACATTGCGCCTTCTCTCTCTTGCTCTGTTCCTAAACCCTAACTAAACCCTAATCGCGCCTTCTGTGATTCCCCCTTTTCCTAATCGAAAACCATTCTTCGGGACTTTCACTTTTGTTCCTTCATCCTTCGTTCTCTCTTCGTCCAATAATGGCAACAAGTGAGTCTTTCATCACCATCAAATCAAGTTCTGTGATTGGCAGTTTTGCAGAAGCTACTGGGAATTTTTTCCTTTTCTTCTTTTTAGGGGTTTAATTTGGGGTTCCATTTTTTTGCAGGGCTTATGTTCGAGAACTCATGTGAGGTTGGAGTGTTTTCTAAATTGACCAATGCATACTGTTTGGTAGCAATTGGAGGATCAGAAAGCTTCTACAGGTTTGTTAGTTGTGCTAGCTTTTCTAATTCTTCTTCATATTTATTTACGGTTTTTTGGTTATTCAGCTTTTGGGTTTTACATGTGTTTTTAATTTTATTGCAATAGCACATTCGAGGCTGAGTTAGCAGATCACATCCCTGTTGTTAAAACATCCATTGCCGGTACTAGGATCGTTGGACGAATTTGTGCTGGTGATACTTTCTTTTTATCTGTGTTTTTTTTTTAGACTTCATTAAATGTGCATGTGCATTCAGCTTGTTATCAGGCTCTAAATTCTGTCATGGCCTTTCCAATGGCAGGAAACAAAAATGGGCTCCTCTTGCCACACAATACAACCGACCAAGGTGATTATGGACTCTTATGATTACTCATTTGAGCTTCTCTTGCATATTTCTTTTCTATAATGTGGCAATTAGTTGTTAAACTTCAATATCTCAGATTCTCAATGCTTGTTTATTGACATATTTTACCCATAAACTTGCTTCTGTTGTAACAAATACTGTTGCTCTGTTACCCATCTTCTGCATTTTCAAGTGGACTATTGACTTTTATTTTGTTTGGTGATATTCCTTTTGAAGAGCTTCAGCATTTGAGAAATAGTCTACCTGATCAAGTTGTTGTCCAGCGTGTTGATGAGAGGCTTTCTGCCCTGGGGAATTGCATAGCATGCAATGACCATGTTGCTCTCACACACACTGATCTTGACAGGGTAAGATGATGCTTTTTATTTGAAGTTTATTATGGTCTAGCGTTGTTCTATAATGAATGTTGTTCTTATTCCATTCAGTTGCTTGTTTGAGATCTTGAAACCGTAAACATTTTAGAATAAATTAGTCAAAATGGAGGCAGACACCTGGTGTCGGCTATTTTGTTTATTACTCTTTATGTTTTCTTGTTATAATAGTATTAAGTATTGCCTGATGTGTATGCATCTTCTTCTGTGGGTCATTGCTCAGGAAACAGAGGAATTGATTGCAGATGTTCTTGGAGTAGAAGTTTTTAGGCAGACAATAGCTGGAAATATTCTTGTGGGGAGCTACTGCACCTTCTCTAACAGAGGTGGTTTGGTAAGAAATTATATCATTGGTGCACCCACTAGAAAACATGTTAGTTTTCTAATTATGGTTTTGCAGTAACTTGCTGTGTTTTCAATGAGTAGGTACACCCCCATACGTCAATTGAAGACTTGGATGAACTTTCAACACTTCTTCAGGTACCTTTGGTGGCTGGGACTGTTAACCGTGGCAGTGAGGTGATAGCTGCTGGCATGGTTGTGAACGACTGGACAGCGTTTTGTGGTGCAGACACTACTGCAACCGAACTTTCTGTCATTGAGAGTGTTTTCAAGTTAAGGGAAGCCCAGCCTACAGCCATTGTTGATGAGATGAGAAAATCATTAATTGACAGCTATGTATAAGTCAACTGAACGATGAGTCCTGTGAGGTTGATACAATAATCCCTAAGTGCTTATGATTAGGCTGCAGCCCAGCTATACTCATAATTTTTGACATGCAAGTTATTTTATGTACGAAAAAAATAGCATATATTATTTTCCCCTTTGAAAAAGTGTTGTGTTTTCATTTGTTTGAAACTGAGAGTTTCGTGGGCGGTTTTGTTTGAATTGCAGATGAATCTTTTGAAAGAGAAGATCCTTTTATTTGGATTGACCATAAGAATCTATGAATGAAACCTGTGCTTTGATAAGCTAGTTATTTTACATATGACGGCATTGGCTTGTCAATTGGTCCTGATTTCACCGAGGAGTTTTGAACCTCTGATTTTTATATGAATAAAATCTAGTGAGGAAATCATGTGAACAATGAATTGGAACTCTAGCCTTTGGAAAAAAAAGTTGAAACTCTGGTCTTTCAATCTTGAACTTGGGCCGCACACCGTTCTGTGATTTCAGAGACAACTTCTCCACTGGTGGAGCTGCAAGATTTGAGGGCCAAAATCATGTTATTGCGAGAGTATTTTATGAACATGAGACGAATTTGATAAGCTAAAGTATTTGACTTTGCTCTGATGCTTTCGTTATCTGTGTTCTAGATAACTGATAATCAAAAAATGACAAGACAAATTTGTTTCATACTAGTCAGTTAGAGAATTAAGTGTTAGAAGTTCTCTCGTATGGTGATTACAACAAGTGTCCAAGCAATACACCCCAACAATCAAAAGTTCACAGATTAAACATAGAAGAAATTCATCCTAGGAAGGCAAGGCTCAATGCAAGTGTGTACAGTTCTAGATTTCAAGTTATTGAATTGACAAATATATCAGGTTAAATCATGGGAGACATAAGCACTAAAAACAATGATAGAGCCTCAGCATAGAAGGCGTCTTGTTCATTAGTCTAGAGTAGAAAATAACCACACTGTATGCACAGTACACACAAACAACAATACGGGTTTCTCAGGAAAAGGTTCAAAATAAATTTATTTCTCTCTATATAACTATAGGTACCAATCAAGTTTAAACTTTCTTTAATTCAATAGTTACTATCAGGAAAACATCACAGAGAAGATTAGCTTTTCAACAGTTGTGGAGAAAAATTTAGATAAGATGCACTCACAATCCATTGAAGACTTTGATTGTGTCATAGAACAACCACTGCAAAGTCACCACAGGTCCAACAAGCAATATCCGGATAGATAGGCTTCTTGTGAATAAATTGAAAAGCCCAATTTTTTTAATAGCCTGCTCATCCAAAAGACAAAGTTCAATCCAGTGGCTAAATCGTTTCAATAGTATTGTAAATGCCATATGATTGAAGTCCTTACCAGTATGAGGCTGTCAGCCTTTTTAGTATACATAGAAGCAACAATGTTGTCAGCGGGATTAGAAATAAAACTACCAACAGACCCAGCAGCATACCCAGCTAAACAGGTCACCCCTAGCTGCTGTACTTTTGAGCACTCCTCCTTTCTCCTTTGAATAAGATTCCGATACAGAAAATCTACAGAATGCTCAAATGTCGAGAACATAACCATCGAGACTGCCACCAAAAGTTTAGTAAGTGTTAATGTTATGGTCACATTTCACAACTGGAAACAATGCTGGACCTGGAAAGTAGGACAATAGTATCTAGAAAGATGCTAGGCAAAAATTGTGTCATTCAAGCTGGCAGAGGCAGTCAAGTCAACTAATGTAACCATGTCCTCAATGCTTCTTCCAGAATGGAAAGCACATATTTTTTGTGAACTTGATACACACAATTATACTTCTATAAAGATTATGGAAAGCAAGAAATTTGGCATTTAGGGAGTCAGACAATTACATGGAAGGTTTCTACCCAAAAGTGGAACAAGACCCCTGTAGAAACTGCAACAAAAAATTGAAGGCAAAAAGAAAACATAAGAGGTGAGAGAGAAGCAGGGAGCATAGGGTAATAGTAGTAGAAGAGGATATATTGTTCCTGTTATTCTTACCCAAAGACACCTTCAGATGTGTAAGTCTTTTGGAAGCCATCAAGCAAGCCCTTTGCAAAGTGGGGTTGTGCTTGAACCCGGACTTTGACTGCTTCAAAAGGGCAGAGAGCCGCATTGGCAAATACTTCAGCAGAAGCACTGCTAAGAAAGAAAATAGGAGTCCTATTGCAATCCACCAACACATTAGAGTAAAGGGTCTTGAAGTACTCATAAAGACCAAATCTAAAACCTCCCTGAACACCATAGCCAATGAATTTGGTCGTCCAACCTCTCCAAAAGGCAGAAGGGCCTTGTTCTCTCAACAGGATAGTAAAGCATGAGGCAATACTTTTGTACTTAATGGGATTCACCTACACATGAGTTGCATTGTTCATTGAGCTTCCCAGCAACAAAAATCAGAATACATGACTAAGAAACAAGAAACACAGCACCTTGGTGACCCTGAATTAAACGGAAACAACCTTCAAATACCAAATGGTGGAAAATCAAGAAACATACCTGCATGTTAACTTTTAAGACATCGAGAGGAGTGATGGCGAGATGGGTAGTTCCAGCACTGAGCATTCCTCCAATGGCGCAAAGACTGAAGTATCCTGTTCCCCCTCTGGCTGCGTAATCTTCATCGCCTACGCTCGTCATTGTTCCCACCCACTTTCCTCTCCAATTACCATTTAGAAATGCTTACTGATTCCATCATTCGTCGCATTCTCTGAGTGCATTCGCAATTACAAAGCCCGCTTAGGTTTTCTCGTCAATTCTCCGCCGTCACGGCCGCTGGAAATATGGAAGGAAGCAGCAGAAAAAGGCTTCAGCTGTGGGATCTTCGAAGTTCCGCATGTTGCCTCCTAAATTCTAGGGCCGACTGACTGAACAGGTGTGCCCTTGTCTGAATCCTCCTCCACAGTCCGCAGTCAGTGTTGCCTGTTGGGCTTGGGCCGAACTTTCTTTATAGAATTGGGTTGGGCTAACAATAAATCTATCATAAATAATTTTTAAAAAATTAAAAAGTTCTTTTTTATTATTTATTTTAATTACACAATAAGAGGTAACCATCCTCTATCTCTTATTTTTTTATCTCTTATCTCTTATCTATTATCTCTTATCTTACAACACCTGCAAACTATGCAATTCGAATTAAAAACCTATTACTTCTAGTGAAAGTAGATGACCACTAAATTATTTAGGTCGTTAACAATATTATATGATTTAAACAATATTAAATTATATAATACTACCGGTTAAATCAAAGTTAAATCTCTTAATACTAAGATACTCTCCCTATCCAATTACATGACATTGACTGTTAGATAGAGTTGAGCATCAAATGAACGCTAGAACCAATCAGGTATTTGAAAGAACATAAATTGGATTTGGGAAATTTTACATAGATTTTAGCAAATTTTAACGGCCAAGCATCCATGTTAGCAGCCACAAGATGTCCCATCCCGGTTACTGCCCAGATTTTTTTTCCTTGGTAGCATATGACATCTTTGAAGCTATTGTACCACCTTATTTTTAGCTGCTGTCCATTTTGAGTCATGGGATAGCCAAAAGGCCAATTCGGGGAATTGGCCGTAAATTGCTACTGCAATGCGCCATCGCCATCGCTGAAAGTGCTGGGAATAGAAGATACCACTATATCTTATCTATTAATGACTGTCCCATCTGAGTTGGCTCTAATTTTCTATCCCTCCACATTTCTCAAATAAAGCATACTCTTCGTGGTGCCCCTCATAGCAGTATCTCTGGACATTTGGAAAGCTAGACAATGGAGGAAGTAAAATCCGAGTCTTGGTGAGAGAATTGAATAAAGATAATTTCTATAATAGATTTTATAAGTTAATTGTTAGGTGCACTTAATATCTTAATAATGATCAAAGTTTGAATCATAATATTATCATATTAAAATTCTCCATCACTTACCCCTTATTGTACTTGTTAAAAAAGAATAAATATAATTCCAGATCCATGCCAAGAGTCACCAACCAACTTTTGCAACAAAAATTGATCAGTTCCTTCTAGACTATGATCACCCAATCTTGGACGGAACCAACCCACTGGATATCACTCTTTTTTTTTGGGGGGGAGGGGGGCCACCACTAGTTAGATGTAAGTGGTTTTATACATAAGAAAATAGTGGATCTTTTAATCTTGGGATGATTCTTTCCTTATTAATGGGTATAAATTGTGCATTTTGTGCAGGAGAGAATAGAATAACGCTCTTTATGCATATGAAACAAATATTATTTAGAAAAAAATTTGAAATATTTTAAAATAATTTAGAAATTAGAAATTAAATATACAGAAGAAAAGCTCAATAAAATGGCGAAAAAATCAAACGGGAAAATAATAGAAATGAAACTGATTAACAATTAACGAATTATAAAATACTTGGGGAAAATAATACTTGGGCCTCATTTCGGCCCAAAAGATTAAAGCAAACCCTTCAAAGCCCAAACCCTTTTGTAAATAGTACAAAGTACAAACTACAGAACAAATGAGAAGTGGGCAACAGGTTTTTTTCTCCCCGCAAAAAACCATATGCTTCTGAAGCAATACTATTCGAACCATGGACGTCATGGAAGCCCGTCAAGAAGTTCAAGAAACTGAAGCCGAAGAAGAAGCTCCTTACACTTGCGTTCACTGCCCTACCAATAACTTCGCCAGGATCAAAGCAATCCGTAGCCATTACATGGCCAAACATGGCAGGTTCTACAAATTATGTATGCAATCACCCTGACTGCAGTTAGTAGCGATTTCTATATGGTCATATATATGTGTAGAATATCATGGGAGCAGATAAATGACTACATTCTGAAGCCAATAATCATCCAGACCAAGTTGAAAAGCCAGCAAAAAGCAGCTTTGTGCCATGAACAAAGGTAAAAGGTTCGTGCTGGGTTTATTTCTTTCTTCAGTACTTGTTTCATCAGGCCTGCTGAGGTCTCTTCCAGAGGAGCACATTTACCACATCAAATAATTAAAGCAAGTACAGGAAGATTCAATTTTTATTTCTTATTTTGGAATCTTATCAAGGTCTTTTTTGTTTTTCTTTTCCAGAACATCCTATTATGGAAGGAGAATGTTCAGAACATACAAGCAAATTCAAAATTCTTATCTATTTGTGGCTCTGCTGAACTCAACAGGTACAATTTCACAACTGTTCAATGCCCAGCAGAGCTAATTGATGTTCTGTCATCGTGCTATAGAAACTTCAGTTGTTTTGCTCTTGAAACACATACCGTACGGAATCGAACATAATCAACGTAGGATTTCAAACTTTCGATAATTGCAAGCACACAATCATCACGAAGCTCTTCCCACCGTGCCATGCTTTCTGGGTATTGCGCTTGTTCTTGATGTGGTTAATTATATATATATATATATATATGATTCAGAGATAAAATATATTAAATCCTAAACGGTATTGGAAAATGATTCCTATGTCATGTAGAAGTGGAATTCCTACTTCGAATTAGTGCAAAATTATTTGTTATAAGAAACTCTCATTCGTTAAGGATTAAAAAGCGCTAATCCTTCTCCAATTCTCCAATTCCATAAAGGATTGATACATCAGGCATTATTTAAGGTTGAACCTCTCACGACTTGGCTATTCCAAAGAAAGGTATGGCTCGGTGGGAAGGACTTCCAGGAGATCTAATTTATGCAATTGGCGAACGTCTTGAATACTCAGATTATGTTCGACTCCGTGCAGTGTGTGTTTCATGGAACTCAGCCGTGCCAAAGAACCCATCTTACCTACTCAAGCAACCGGTGCCATGGCTGATGCTACCATTTGACGATGAGACCCAAGCATCTC